GGTGTCTATGCTGAGAAATGATAACCAAATTGTCAAAAGTCAAAGACAGGGTGAATTTTGAAATCACTCAGAGAAAAATCACCCACCATGTAGGAGGAAGTCCTTGTAAGGTGATCAATGCATTTCTTAGCAGAAAGCTTGCAGGCCAGAGAGATTGAAATAGTATGTTCAAAGTACTGGGGGAAAAATTATGAAACAAGAATGCTATACCTGGCAAAGCTGTACACCAAAAATAAAAGAGAAGAAAATATTTTTTAGATGAACAAAAGTGGAGTGAGTTCATTACCACTAGAACTGCTTTAAAGAAATACTAAAGGGAGTGCTTAAAGTTGATAAACAGCAAAAAGAAAGCATAGTATGAAATCAGAAAATTCACTGATACAGGTAAATATGCAGACAAGTACAGATTGTAACATTGGTGTGTAGACTCCTTTTAATTTTAGTATAAAAGTTAAAAGATAAAGGGTATATAGATTGTTATAATTATAAGATCCTTATGTAAGCCTCATGGTAATCACAAAGAAAAGATATGTAAAAAAGCATATACACTGAACTCCTTAATCAAATTAATAAAGAGGCTGAATGGAAAATAATATAACAAATAACCAAAGAGAGCAGGACTGGCATTACATGCATCAGGTAAAATAGAATGTATGTCAGAATCTATCAGAAGAGACAGAGAAGGACATTGTAAAATGAAAGAAGATTCAGTCCAGGACAATTGACATTAGAGTACCTAGAAACACAAGGCAAACTGATAGAGCTGAAGGGATGAAATGAACACCAATATAATGATAGTAAGAGACATCAGTAACCCGCTGTCAATAATGAATAGAACATCCAGATAGAAAATTAATAATGAAATAATGCATTCAAATAATGCTATATACACCAAATGGACCTATCAGACATATATAGCGCATCCCACCCCAAAACAGTAGAATACACATTCTTCTACAAAACAAAGAGAACTTTCTCCAGGAAAGATCACATGTTAGGTCACAAACATTTTAAAAGATTGAAATCTTGCTATTGTAAGTATATTTTCTGACCACAGAGAAGTGAAACTAGAAATCTACAACAAAAGGAAAACTGAGAAATTCACAAATATGTGAACATTAAGCATCATGTTCCTTGCCAAACATTGGAGCCAAGAAAAGTTCAAAAGGGAAATCAGAAAATATCAGCATAAATGAAAATGAAAATGCAACATACCAAAACTTATGGGATCCTTCAGAGGCATTACTCAGAGGGAACATTATATTGATAAACACCCACATCAGAAATGAAGAAAGACCTCAAATAAACCACCTAAGTTTACACCTAATTGAATTAGAAGAATAACCTAAGCCCAAAATTAAGAAAGGAAATAATACAACTTTGAGCAAAAAATAAACAAAGCATAGAAAGATATTTCAAAAAATCAAAATAAGAGTTGGTTTTCTGAAAAATAAACAAAATTGACAGATGTAAGTTAGACTAAGAAAAAATAGAGAAGACTCAAATAAATAAAAGCAGACTACAACTGATATCAGAGAAATAAAAAAGGATCAAAAGAGAATACTATAAACAAGTATACACCAACAACTTACATAGCCTTAAAGTAATGGATTAATTCCTACAAAGG